GAACCAATACAAGTGACCACTTGTGAGCAATGCAAGTGCACCCTTCTTCCAGCTCCAGTATTTGGGAGAGTTGGCTCCCGCTCAAGACCTCTGATTGTTTGCATGCCCACAGGCGGATTAGCCACAGAATGTTCACAATTTCTGGGAATCAGGACCGCTCACTCGGCCTTGTTGTTAGAAGACAGCAAAGTCCATCTCGGTGCAGAGCATTGTAGGAAACAGTAACAGGGCAGCTTGGTGCCACGACCACCGAGCTGTTCTTAAACCAGACAGTAAGTTGCCATTTCAGAGTAGGTGGAATGAGGACTTAATTTCAGGTATAGTAAGTTTTATTTTCCTTTCCTGTATGACTTTCCTGGAGGCCTGGAGCACAAGGTTTAATGGGCCTCTATCTCTGCAAGTCACAGGTTTAGCACTGAACCTGAGGCAAGTTCTGGCTCAAGGACTGGCTTCCTTCTCGCCTAGCTCAGATGCATCTAGCACAGGGGTGGATTTTATCTGCACTGAGATTTATAGGTATTTTTACCCACCTATTAATTAAAATGCCTTCTACCTGAATTGAAATATTACAGTATCAATACATTATCTAATAAAACAATTTATACACAAAGAAGATTTTATTCTCTCATTTCAAAAGATCCACCTCTAAATTTTAATGATGGGGCTGGATGGTGGCCAGTATGACTCTCACCTCCCGGTGTCATAAATCCAGTTCTTTTAAGGGTGGCTTCCCTGGGTATTGATGGTGCCTGGGACGATGGGCCCAGCTAAAACCAAGGACCGGCTTCCGCGATTCTTCCGAAAGTAGAAGCGAATGTGCATGTAATTTAATGTAACTAAATGTATTCATAGGTCTAGACTAATATGTATATAAATAAATTGACTAATTAAATTCAAATTATAAGTTGTATTTTGAGTCTACAAGGTTAAACCTCAAATTTAATATTTGTAGTGTTTCTCAAAGAAGAAAACATGCAAAGTGAGAACAACATGCACAGCTATATTTTTAAAATGTACGTATGTTATAGTAAAACAACATGAAATATCTTCCTGTCAGTAATAACTTGCACAAAAAGCACGAATTAGTTGTATTCACTGTTATATTTGAGTGCTTTTTCTGAAATTACCTTCATAGCGAGTTGTGTCTTATTTTCAAAATTGGTGCTCACTTTAAGAAACGGAGGAATACTTTACATGCAGACCTTATGTTAAAAGTGACATGCTAAAGAATAACCCTTGCTTAGTAGATAGGAAGGAGTCAGATGTTCAGAGAGGCCCTTTCACAACAGTTTCCCTAGCATGGAAATTGGTAGCCTTTTGGTTTCTGAAGACACCACTGTTACCTGGCCCAATTTTGAAAAATGCAGGACATGGAATCCTTTAGAGGCAATGTGTTCTTAATCTTTTGAAGTATATTTCTAATTCTCTTATTAGTTCCAAAAAGCCAGTTATTTCAGCACTTAAAAAATTCAAATGTGAATCCTTCATGAGTTTAAACCCCTGAAAGTTAGAAATTGCATTCATGTTGTAACATGGATCAGAATTTGTTCTTCCATGGCTCAATAATATCATATTGTATGGGCCTAGCACATTCTGACTTCTCATCCATCAGTTAATAGATATTTGGTTTATTCTATCTTTTGACAATTATGAATAATGTAGCTATGAACAATTATATGCCAGTACTTGAATTCTTGTTAGCATTTCTGTCGGGAATAGTGTATATCTAGCAGTAGAACTGCTTGGTCAGATGGCAACTGTGTCTTTAATCTTTTGAGGAGGCAGCAGGTATTGTCCACTGGGGCTGCAAAGTTTCACATCCCCCCCTGCGCTACATTGTGAATGAACCTCGGAACCCCTGTGAAAGAAGTAATGTTCATGTTGAGCAAAAGACATCTTCAAAGAACTACAAAGTATACAATTCTATTTAAAATAAGTGCTAAGAAAAAGCAAATTGTAAGGCTAGAAAGTAGGTTAACTGTTTCCTCAGTCTCTGGAGATTGGGGGAAAAATCAGGAATAGGTATGAGTTTCCTTTTTGAGATGATAAAAATATAGAAATTGACTATGATGATGGTCGCACAATTCTGTGAATAGTTTTTAAAAAACAGTGAACTATACATCCGATGGGTGATTGTATGATATGTGAATTATATCTCAGTAAAGCTATTATGTCAAGTAAGTGAAGTTCCCTTAGTACTTCTATGGTAGCAAAAGTGTACTTTTTCAGAAAGCCTTCTTTATTGTTGTTGCAAAATCAGTTTCTTGAGGCACCTTCTGTTTCAGAAATCTAACCTCTCTGGCCAGACGACATGCAGTGACATGTGACTCTCACTCATTCTCCCCCATCTGATATTCCTTGATTTTTTAAGGCAGCACCACTGGGTCCTGTGGCTGTGTCTGCAGTATCCATCTGCTGGCTTGTCAGTGATAGTGAGCTGGTGGCTTATTCTGTCCTGTCTACGGGGTCTGAAGCCTGCTCAGTGCCTGGAACACAGAAGGTGCTCAATCAACACATGTTAAACAAATTTGATAGACTGCTGAAAATTTAAAGAAAAAAATACTTTCAGATCTAGAACACAGTTCCTGCCAGTTGTTGTCCTGCATATAGGGGAGGAGTGATATATACATGGAAACAAAAAACTGAGGCATTTTGCAAAGCCAATTCCTCACAGCATCCCCTGGAGATTTATCCCATTGTGCCAAGTTTCTGTGATACAAGTTGAGGAAGATGAAGGGGCGGAAGTCAAAGCGGCCCATAAAGAGATGACGCCAACTAGCTCAGTGCATCTGAGCACCATAATCATGGTCCTAAATCACTTCTGACAAATTCAGACAATGCCTCCTTTTGACAGTGACTTGGTGCCAAGAATTTATCCTGCATCCCCTTTATTTATGGTGAAACAAAGTGACATCACGCTTTGTCAGGAAAGAATGCTTTAAGTGATGCTTTTAAAAGTACACACACTGTTCTTGAAACAGCTTGCTCCTGATTTATGTTTACAGCAGCGGCCGTGTGTGTGGAGGGGTGGATGGTATAGAACCAAGTTGTGGTCAGCAACCGTGGAAGGATGGCAGCATCTCAACACCTCTGCTCCCAGTTTCTTTTCTTAACAAGTGCCGATGAGTTTCCATTTTTGGAGATCTGATAGCCTGTCAGGGGAATTCGGATCAGATGATTTAACATCTGTGATGTAACGATCTGCAATTTCATGGCTATCCTGGGAGACCACTCTTTTGTGGAAACTCTTCAGGGGTTCTGCTTTCATTGCCACATTCTTTTCTCAATGCTTAAGAACACATAATTTGAGCCTAACAGTATCTAGACTTTATTTTTATTACATTTATATGTTTGACATAGAAACTCATCCATTATCATAAGCCCAAAACCAAAAAGAGAAAAAAAAAGTAAAGTAGATCTTTTATATAATTTCTAGGTGCTATTGGATTCAAACTAACTTAGATTACAAATGAGCACAAGTGGACCCAAAGTGGTCACGTGTTCCATAACATCTCCCTCGATTCATGTACTCTGATCATGCAAATAGTGATTTTTGTCTGTGAGAAGCCAGAAGACTGGGAGGAAACAGTGAAAATATTTTGTGATCCTTCAGGTCTCACCTTAGAGTCTCTACATACTAGATATTGGATTGAGTAGGCTTTCTGATTGAATACTGTGGGTAACACGGGTCCCAGTCCCTTGGCATAGTCACTCCCCAGGGCTTGTCCATGCCAGAAGAGTCTGTGCTGGTATGGCTGGTTTTCCATACCATGGTATTGATTTGCAAGTGAAGATCCTGTGATAATCCCATGCTTTGAGGAATACTTGACATACATCTGACAAACTCATCTTCCTTTTTTTCTTTCGTGTGTGTGTGTGTGTGTGTGTGTGTGTGTGAGAGAGAGAGAGAGAGAGAGAGAGAGAGAGAGAGAGAGAGAGACCAGGGATTGAACCATGGGCTACATCCCCAGCCTGTTATTTTTTTATTTTTTTATTTTTTGAGACAAAATGTAGCTAAGTTGCTGAGGCTGGTCCTGTACTTGAGTTCCTCTTCCCTCAGCCTCCCAAAGTGATGGCAAATGGCCAACTCACTTTTCTTTTGTTAGCTATATCACTTGGAAAGTCTATAACCACTCAAAAAGGTTTTCTTTACTTGTAACAGAAAGGAACTAAGCCAGAAAGATGACTCCCGCTATTTTTCCAGGAAATGGGAGAAGACAGGAGGAAACATAATAAGTAGGTAAGCCTCTGCTTTCCCCATCAGACAAGGCAGAGCCTCTGATTGGTTTTACATATTGAATCTTGATTTAATAAAATAATTTCAAGATTAATACAGGTTTGAAAATCTCTGGGCTGGATGATTATTAAGAATCTTTCTAGTTGCTGGCTTATTATTATGTTATTTCAAAGTATATTTCTGGTCTTAGATTACACAAGCAGAAATGTAAGGAAAAAAATATTCTGGGCAGTGAAATTATGTAGTGTTTTTATTTTTATTTATTTATTTTTTATATGCAGTGTTTTTAGCTTTTACCCAATATATTCTACAGTGAACAAAATGTCTAAAATTTAATATTTTTTAAAAGTCAGTAAATATAATTTAACAGTTAAAAACTTATGAGTTTTAAAGAAATTTTAATTGAAATATATACAAGTATATAGAATATGGAGAGAGAGATGAGAGATTCACAGAGAAAAGTGCACATAATCATGGTTTGATTTTTCAATGTTTGTGTTTCTAAATCATTTTATATAGAACATAAATTATGACAATTTATATCAGTAAAATTAGCCCCAATTTATATTTAAGTGCTTTCTATTCTTAGAAATTATTTTAGTACATATACTTTATATTTTTGAATATGTATATCACACACTAAGATTTTTAAGTCTAAGTTATTTTTATGGTTGGTCTTCAGAAAAATGAATGAAAGAAATATTTTTATTGGTATTAACTAGGAGATGAGAAATATTGCATGTGGTTTAAAAAAAATTCTATAACTTCTTCCTGTGGTCTAGTCTAATTCTTCAGAAAATAATATATAACGTACTTGTCAACATAAACTCAAGTGGAACCTAATATTTTTAAATTGTCTCTAATAAGCCATTTTCTCAGATCTTTCTGGCTTTCAAAGTAATCACTATTCAAGCTCTGTTGAGCAGTAGAGCCAAAAAGCATTGTTTTAGTTTTTGCTGCTTTGAAAACCAGTTTGTTTTCCTGGAACCAGTCTGCCAAAGTCTTTTTGCAGTTCAGTAGTTAAGTGCGAAACAGATTTGCCATTAAAATGCACAGTCGAGCCATCTGCATAAAGATGTATAGAGCAGTAATGACATATCCATGTTAAATCATTAATAAAAAGAGAAAAGAGGAGCGGGCCGTGACTGACACTGTTGCTTAATAACTGGGAGGAGAGGGAGCGGAGACAGCCCTGTGAACGGGAACAGATTGACGTCTGTCGGAGCCGTTTCTTATCAGTGACAGCGCTTGGCTGGAGCCCACACTCCCCACCTTCTGTAGTCAAAGCCCATGGTTCACCAGGCCAAAGCAGTCTGAGAAACTAATAAGAGGCTCATTTTCCTCCCAGCTCCCTTCAGGAAGGTCTTCCTTGGAGTTAGTTGTCTCGGAGTGGCACGTGCAGCTTCGGCTCGCCCCTTAAAGGCTTCGTGCCTGTGGGGTCCTGTGTGCCCCTCACCAGTGTCTTTGAACCCTCTGAACACTTACTGCCAGGGTGAGCCATTTGCGCAAGGCTTTCCTGCATGTGTTCTTTCTTTCTTTTACAGTGAAGGGATAAAGACTTCCTGTGGAAGCTAAAGCAGGTCCTAAGTTAAATAGTGAGTACCTACTACCAATTTCAAATTGACGAAATCTCTCTGAGAAGCAAAGGAAGAACAAATAAATGGATTCTACCCAGGGGTAAAGTTATACCGTTTGATCCTCTCTTCACTGGTGCCAAAGTTAGTTAGCAATATTTATTTCTATATGTCTGAGGTTCTGAAGGAATTGCAGATAGGATTCGCTTGCCCCTGGAAACTAAAGAGCTTAAAGGAACTTTTAGACCAAAGAAAAATTATATAACCCAGTCAGCAAAAACTTATAAAAAGAGTTGGTAAATAATTTTGGCTGTAGCGCAATGGTGATCTAAATAAATCTACAGGACTCCAGGATTAATGGAAGTAAACATCATCAGAAGACCCTGGTCTGGGAAGATTAAAAATGACAAATTTGGTGGGAATGCTGATGTCTTATTTTGATAGTCTAAACTATCAAAGTTATGTGACAGTTATTAGCTACTGGTCTTTCTCATGTATTTTAATATTCAGTGAGGCCCAAAGCTAGATAAAAGATCCTTTTTGTCTTTACAAAGATTGCTTCTGGGTTCTAAATCGACATGTACAGTGGAGAAGATCATGGGGTTGAGGGTCAAGGGAAGGGAACCTAGAGAGGGGATGGAGGGAGGGGAGAAGGCATAAGAAGAGTAAGGATGTGCCACGTCCATGGACCAATTCCCCACGTGAACGCAATTGTTCTGTACTGAAACACGTACTAATAAAAGTGTTTTTTAAATAAAAATGTCTTGTGATAAAAAAAGAAAAACCTTGGAAACTAACTAGTTGAATGACACTAAAGTCAATCCCCCCTGCCTCGTGTTTTCCCCATAAACCTAGGTCCCTTTCAGTGTTTTCTTTTGTTCTGGATTTTCATGACGCTCTAACTGTCGTGGAGTTGTAAGGGTAAAGGACGCCTCAGAATCCCGCCTGGACACTGTAAGAGCTGTATCGACAGTCGTCGGTGGGCTCCACAGAAGTGCAGAGCACAGCTCTTCTGGAAGGAAGCAGCCAGGCTTTCCTTCCTCAGCTCCTGACTCTGCCAAAGGGAGCCCAATCCTATGCCAGAGCTATGCTTGGCAGGGAGTCATCCAGGAGCACAGCACCGGTCATCCCTACCTTCACAGAGCTTGAGTTTAGCGGGACATTGAATAAGGGCAGAGCTGCCAAAGGCACAAATGCGAATCACATTCACTGGTTTGGGGAAAGACAGAAGCAGGGTTTTACCTGGGCTGGAGTTTCAGGGACAGCTTGGGGAGAAGTGAGCTTTGAGCTGAGGACAGCAGCATAAGCAGGGATGAGCTGGCATCGGAAAGGGACAGCAGTGGAAAAGGCAAAGGAAGCAGGGCTACGGCCTGGGCATCCTGGGGTGGCTGGGGGAGGCCAGCGTCACTCCCCCGGGGTGGGGTGGGGGAGCAGCAGAGGGTTCAGCTCGGCAGGGGCCACATCGCAGTGGCTGGCAGGTGAAGTCCGGTGTGTGGCTGGATTCTTGCTGAGATTTCCAAGATGCATCCTCCAGGTTCATAGAGCATCTGTCCGCTTCTGCGGTGGGGAGAAACGGTGTTCCTGCTCAGGCCGAGGGTTGGACTCGCTGTACCCTGAAGAAGCTGCCTGATGGGAGCTGCTTGCTCACTGGCAGAGGGTGTGGGTCAGGCGTCCCGAGAACGAGGAAGATGCTAAGAGAGAACAGGGAGACACGAGGCTCCAGGCTCCAAGTCCATACCCAGTGTTGCCATTCCCAGAAGACTGTGTCCACACCAACAAGATTTATTGATCAGAATAAGTGTAACTATAGCATCTCCTCTCCTTTAGTAATGTTTTGTTTGCCTGGAAGACAGACCTAAAAGATATTCCCCAAACTATCAATAAGTTGCATGTTCCCATAGACTAGAGCCCACCTCCTCAGAGGGGAGGGCAGCGTCGAATCTCAGGTCCCACACGTCCCTACTGAGTCCAAGTCCGCATCTTATCAAGATCGTCAAGGGGGTTTGTGTGCACAATAAAGTCTGAGAAGTGCCGCTCTAGGTCAGGTGAAAAAATGAATTTAAAATAATTTATAAATTAGGCATCTAGAGTAAATTTGAAATTAGCTTCCTTGTAGTTAATTATCGTTTTAATGTTAAAATGTCCTTAACGCTTCCATAAATTCAAAGTTAATTATTGTTATGGAAAATGTTTCACTAGGAAACAATTACTCTAGGCACAATGCCAAAAATTTCAAGGTTTAATATTTACTCAAAACACAACAAAATATTTTGAGTGTATACATATTTCCTTGTAGGACAGAAATAGCCATGCTAACTATCAGTTATTGATTACTGAAATTTCCTGTTTAGCCAATCATGTTCACAATAGTGAAGGCAAAGCAACAACTCAATGGTACGTTTTTTTGTACTAAAACCATCATCAAATAATCATTTAGCCCTTAAGACCTTTACAGTCAAAATCGAGAACTATTTATGGGATTCATGTTTGAAATTTCCAAGAGTATTTGGACTTACTTGGAACTCATGTTTATACAATAAAAACACATTCTTAACAATTTATTTAACTAAATTTGGAGCGAGAAGCCCTCAATGGATGTATGAATCATGGGAGCCCTGCCAGATGTTTTGGAGTGTGGAATTCAAAACGCATTAGCAGCATGGCATGTCATGAAGTTTGATGCAAAACATTGCTTCTCCCTTTCCAAAAGCCTTGTTTAGTTTCTATTGTAAGGCATGAACTGCAGTGACAGTTCATCGCTCTGGGGAAACATCTAAAATCCGTAAGTAGTATCTACCCAGACAGTGGAAATATGAGGCAATTTTCTCCAGAATCAATGTCATAAAAGAGCCAGCCCACCCAGCCACACCCAGATAACCAAGTCCAAGTGGGCATTTACCTGGAAGTGTCATTGTGCCTTTCAACGTCTAATGTTGCTTGATGTTCTCTTGCTTGCTCTATTCCCATCTCCTCAACCTCAGCAGATAAATCTCTTTGTCCTTTACAGAGTAAACACAGTGAATTAGAAAAGTCTTCTGAAACATCACTTCACTCCTGTGGGGGTCCAAATCCCTCTCTTCCTTTGGGATATTTCTGTGCCACTTCCCCTTCTTTTCCTTATCCCCTTCCTCTGATCTTTCCCTTTATCTTTCAGTCTTCCCCACTGTCTTATAGCATCAAGTTTGGTGCCAGCAGAGGGTTTGCAATTAATGTGAGCAGAGAGCACTCCTCTCACATGTCTGAAAATAAGACAGACCACACTATCTCCCCTCAACCCTGTCATCCCAAAGGAGGCCATTTGTCTTTGTCTTCCCCTTTGCTCCCAGAATTGGATGTCTTGAAAGTGAAATCAACTTTCTAAACTCTTGTTTCCTCCTTATGCAGTCCTCCCAGCTCCAGTCATTTGGTGGTAACCTCACCGATCATCTACCAGAGCTGGACTTTCATTCCTCATTGCTCACCCTCTCTGTAGCATTCCATAGTCTTTTATTGCCTCCTTGGAATTCTATGCTTCCTCCTTCCTCAGATTCCCAATACCTACTCTTCCAAACCTCTCCTCCCAAGCCTTTCTACTTTCTTTTCAGGTTTCTTATTTTATTTCCTTTTCTTGGTACTATCTACATTTCCAAAATTGAGATCCTTCACTCTATTTTCTGTTCCATGGGTTAACTTGGCCTCTGACTTCCCTCTTCCCTCTTCTTGGCAGGAGCTTGTACCCATATTGGGCCCTTTTCTCACAGGTGCTAGAAGTATCATTGTTTATTGAGAAATCTCTTTATGCCCCACTACTTATGAACAAGGTGCCTCCTCTCCTTCACTGACCACAAAATTGAGGGCAGTGATGTGTACACAGGTCACCCAGTGAACAAGTGGTGGATCCGAGACGCAAAAGTAGACAGGCATAGTTTCAGATTCTATGCTTGTGTCCAGAATCTCCAGGACCTTTCAGTGTGGTATCCTCACAGTGTCCAGGGTAGTGCTTCTTGCCAACAGTTCCATTCCTCAACGAGAAGAGGAGGGGCCCCAGCCCCTGGTCCTGCCCTGGTCTCTCCCCATGGGTGCGGATCTGCATCTCACAGGGGATGCGCTGCCGCTTTGTCTCAAGCAATGCTTAGAAGGGGAACTGCAATGGCCTTGAAAGATGCTGGCCCGGCTTCTCTGCAGGCACAGGACTCTTTCCTGGGTCTATCTGCATGGAGATCACAGTGACTGAACCGAACCTCTCCCTAAGCCCAGATGTTGCCAAGATGCAAACTGGGTGTCCACAGATGTGTACTCGAGGTCTTGTATGCAGGAGGAGCTGGGGCTGGGCAGAGAAAGGAAGCCAGATGCAACCAGGGAGCGGGTTTGGGTTATCTCTGGTCTGCCACTGCCTGCTCAGAAATCCAGGGAGTCCGGTGACCCTAAAGCCTGGCCTTCCAAGGGATGGATTGGTAAATTCCTCCAGGAGTAAGGCAGAGAATTTTTTTATAGCTGGCTAGCTTGGCTTAAACATTTTACATACTTATACCACATACCTATGCTACATGGACCCCAATCCCAGGCCTATGTCAGGCCCTGCAACTGTTAGGAATGGCTCTCGTGGTTGAGGTAGATTTTTGCTTTTTTTGTTTTCCCATTTGAAGCTACAAGAGACTAAGCATCACAACACTTTCCTCTTCCTTAAATAGAGCAATACTATGTAAAGAAATTTATTTTTAAGCTTAATATGTACCGTAACTGCATGGGGCAATGATTTTCAATTTAATGTGCACAGGAATTCTAACCTAGAGTTCTTGTTAGGCTACAGACCCTGAGAGGTGAAGCCTGAGAGTCTGGATTTCTAACAGGCTCCCTGGTAATTCTGGTCCTGTCCTTGGACCACATTTGGAGTATCAAGGACCTATAGCACTTGTTTAAAATGCAAATTATTGGGCATCACCCTCAGAAATTCTGACTACAGAGCTCTAAATGGGACCCAGATGGTGAGGAAAACAGGCAGTTCTATGAAGCAACCCAGGTGGTGCTGATAAGGTGGTCTGTAGCCTGCATGCTGGGGACAAATGCTTTAGAATATGTGCCTCAAGTTTTCCTATGCGTGTGGATCACCGGGGATGTGTTAAGAGGCAGATTCTGGTGCAGCAAGATGCTGCACTTCTGGTCAGCACCAGGTGGTGCCTGTGCTGTACACCCGCCAACTTCCGAGTCCAGTCCTAGCGGACCACGTTGGGGTCTTCGTTGTTCGGCTCTTTGCGTGCAGTCTAGTTACTTAGGACAGAAGGGGCAAGCAGGTGATGTGAGGTATAGTGTCTCTGGACAACACCGTGATCCTCTGTAGCGCAAGTTTCCTACAAATCACCTTCAAAGCTGTTGTGTAGCGCCAGATTTGCTGGTGGACTCTTCCATGAGTTCCTGCTAATTATGCCAAAGGCTGGCAAGACAAATGAATAACTTAAGAGTGCAAAGGTAAAATAAGAATAGAATGCTATGAAACGTTTTAGAGTTGCCCATCTACACAAGAAGGTGGGGTCTAAAGAATTGGGGGAGGAGTCAGTTTTTTTGTCCTTAACTTTAGGAATTCCTCTTCCTATCAGTTTACCCCACAGCATGGGCCTTGGGAAGTGTTCTCCTCTTAAGTGACAGAAAAAATAATGAATGAAGGTGAGAGAGTTGTTTCACAGCGTTAATGATCTCAGTTGAACTGTCTGGCATTTATTATTTACAGTACTTCTTACATTTATTTTTGGCACAGTATATGTTAGTAGATTGCATACCATGGGGAGGAAAGAAGCTTTCGAATTGGATTTATTTCATGCAAGCTAAAAAATTCAGACTGATTTATATACGTACAATGGAATAAGATTCAATGAGCCTTGATGAGACGAAATAATTCAGAGTCAGGAGTCTGAAATATTATAGGCTGCTTGTTCATCTCTGAAATCTCACACTGTTATTTAAATTTCTCTAAGTTCATTAATCCCATTTAATACAGCTGATGCAAATCTACTTGGACTTTTGGGAGAGAAAAAATAATGAGCCATAATGCCCTCATACTACAGAAAATAATACAATTATTTTTACTTGTAAGAGGTCACAATTGAAGAGTTTGAGATTGTCAGCTGCCATCACTACAAATTTAGCAAAAAGTAGGCATTTAATGATAGAGTTCACTTTGGTGGTTGAAATTTTATTTTGAATGTATGTTTTTTTTGTCTTAAAAACACTAATGCTGAAACTTTGTCTCAAATCTTTATTTCTAAATCACTTATTATATTACCATAGATTATAGGGTGCAGTAAAGGCCAGATTTAAAAGAAAACACACTTGACTGTCTCATTTTTCTATAAATAACATGACACTTTATGAAACAGGAATTATCATGAAAGTCGGTCTTTTTCTTCTGTAACTCTACGGTGAGCGCAGGGCGAGTGGCCTTCCTCCAAGTAGAGCAGTGGACTAGTCCAAATATAGGCTTGTAATGGTAGAGGTTAGCTGTAGGAAGTCTGAGGAAGACGGCCATCCATAATTTCACCACAATTAGAATGTCTCCCTGAAATAATAGCTCAGTCTGCGGGCCGAGTGCTAACAAATGCCTTTCAGGTTGCTCTTCTTACTTTCATTGTTTTGATGATCAGGCCTTCTCCTCACATGCCATGGGAAGAAGTAAAAGCCCTGGGCCGGGACCCACGTGGCTGAGAGGCTGTGGGTGACAATCAGGCTGTGGCTTCAGCCCAGAGATGCCGGGGGTGGCGTATACTGTTATCTAGAGGGCTGGGCTGTGCCACATTTCCAGGAAGCTGAGCTAGCCAAGTCTGGAGAGTCTGTCACCATAACCAGGCTCCACCATAACCAGAGTCCAAGCCCCGCAGAGGGGAAGAGAATGTCCGGGTTGAAACAGCTCTGAGGAAAATCTTTATTCCCAACCTAGTGAGTTTAGGTGTGAAGTCCAGTTGTCCGTTTGAGACCCTGCCCCTGGGAAAGGCACATTCACAAGGGTTGCTGTCCTTTGGGTGCAGGGCTCCATGGGTCCCACAGCCAGCTGAGTGGGCAGAGCAGAGACAAACTGGGCTCTGGTCCCCACAGTTTCAATGAAGCCCACTTAGAACAACTGCCAAGCCTGGAGTGGGCTGGATCTCAGGAACTGGATCAGTAACTGTAAAATATGAGACATGTTGTATGCAGCCTCCCAAAGTCTGTGTGTATCTAATATGTCGGGGACAAAGAAGGATCCGACTGGAAGCAAAGTCCTTCCTGGGACCCACCGGCCAAGGGAACAGTAAAAGGCAGACAGCAGACCCGAGGGGACGTACTGGTATATTTCAGGACAGTCCTCCTTCTGTTCCCACTGTGACACACTGTGCTATTATAGATTGTGATTAGGGATGGGATCTTGCATTTTGCCAAGTTTCAAACCCACACGAAATTGTAGGGTTAGAGTGTGGAACAGAACTCTGGCTTCTTGGTGTGGAGTTTTTCTACTTATGGCAAAATGTGGCTTCCGGGAGGGTGAGTTAAGATGCCTCAAAGGGAAAAAATTCTTCCAAGGGAACATTTTGATAATTCAAGTGTAAATAAATATAAATCCAAAACACATTTTTAATTAAAGGGAAATTACTTACCAAAACACACTTCTATCCCCCCTTCTGCACTCCCTCCCTCACCCGCCTCTCCAAGTTCAGAAGGGGCAACCCTGTAGAAGGATGGGGCTCACACAGCACTCTGGACGCCCTCTTCCAGTGGGCTTGGAGCTGGGCTCAGGCACACATCCGAGGCATTAAACTGCTGCTCCACTGTGTTGATCCACGTCACAATAAATCACGCTAAACAAACCGAGGAACTGGTTATGAAACATGTTGTCATTGTCCCCCTTGGACATCCTGAGAATCTGGGACTTTTTCCTGAACAATGTACTAACTGATCTTTCCATGGGGGCTCTGAGTTTCCCAAAGGCCATGATTCCCTGAATTTGCACCTGCTCTTCTACACGCCCGACTCACCCATGGCACTGGAATCACAGTAC